GACCGGGGGCAAATTCCTTAAAACTTTGGAATTTGTTGAGCATAGCAGTGTTTCGTGAGCTTTGAGGCAATGAAAAGTTGATTATTTGAACATTACAGTGTTTTGTGAGCTTTAAACCACGAAACACTGCTATGCTCAAAAAATTCCAATATTTCGAACCCTGAAATTCACGAAACACTGTAATGCTCAAAAAATTCATTAAAGGACCGGATAACCCCACATGACAGTGATACTCTGGTCAACATCGAAAGAGTGCAAAAGAGAGGGTTTTAAAGACGTAAGCATGCGAGCACATTGCGTGTGGATGACCGCTCCAGTTGTGTGTTGTGTTGTGTTGTGTGTGTTGTGTGTGTTGGTTGTGTTGTGTGTCGTGTGTTGTGTGTGTTGTGTGTGTCGTGTGTGTTGTGTGTGTTGTGTCCCGGTTGTGTGCTGTGTTGTGTGTTGCGTGTTGTGTGTGTTGTGTGTGTTGTGTTGTGTGTCGTGTGTTGCGTGTGTTGCGTGTTGTGTGTGTGTGTTGTGTTGTGTTGTGTTGTGTGTGTTGTGTGTGTTGTGTTGTGTTGTGTTGTGTGTATTGTGTGTGTTGGTTGGGGTTGTGGTCCGTGGTGTTGTGTGTGTTGTGTGCTCGTGTGCGGTTGTGTTTTGTGTTGTTGTGTCGTGTGTTTCGCGTGTGTGTGTGCGTGTGTGCGAGTATTGCCGTATTACCACATTGCCACGCTTGGCACCTTCGCCCCCCCCCCCCCCCTCCCCCCCCCCCCCCCCCCCCCCCCCTCCCCCTCCTCCTTCCGATCAGGCACGCGCATGATTGTTGTCGTTCACGCACCTGCATCTGAAAACAATCGGGACACGTTTGGTCATGGGGTGATACTTGTAAGTGATATGCATAGTTAGACATATATATATATATATGTGTATCTCTCTCTCTCTCTCTCTCTCTCTTTCTCTCAAGTCATGCAATTGATTTAAGCATGCGTTTGGCTGGCTTCCCAGTACGGGTCGCACAGCATACAAGCCGCCCTATGCACTCGTCACTTTTGCGATTTTCTTCGTCATCCCTCTCTCTCTCTCTATCTCTCTCTCTCTCTCTCTCTCTTTCTCTCCCTGAGGCCCCGGCGATGGATAACGAACATAAGCACCTGGTCAGTTACATGCACCAGTCCCTTTTGACTGGATCTAGCTATGTATAATATTGAGATGCATGGAAGGTGAATGGCTGCGGCATGTATAACTCGTTCTTTCCGTGCGCGTCTCTCTCTCTCTCTCTCTGAGGCCCCGGCGATGGATCCACGACGAGCGCGACGAAACAGGAAAACATGTATAACTCGTTCTTTCTGTGCGCGTCTCTCTCTCTCTCTCTGTCTCTCTCTGAGGCCCCGGCGATGGATAATGAGCATAAGCCATAGGGCCTCTCCTGCTTTTCAAGGCACAGCTGCGTTGTGCATGCAAGAGAGAGAGAGAGAGAGAGAGAGAGAGAGAGAGAGAGAGAGAGAGAGAGAGAGAGAGAGAGAGAGAGAGGAGA